TCACGTATATGTGTATTATGGAACGCGTGCCGTCAGTGTCGAGGTATATGGACTCGAAAATTTCATAGGCGTAACATAGAGAAACTTTGAAAAGTTTTAGCGAAAAAGTTTATGAAAATTTGGGGAAGTACCTACGAGAAATTTGAAAAAGCTGGGAAGGTTTGGGGGAATCTGAGAAGCTGGAAGAAATTCGAGAATGAAGGAGAAACGATTTCAAAATATTTCGAAAATGTCAGAGAAATTTGAAAAAGTGTATACTTATCTACAGTTTAAAAGAAGAAAGAAGTATAACTTCTTAGACTTCTTGTAAGAGAGATTTATCTAATATTATGAAGGAAAACCACCTGGAGAGTTTCAATCAATGTTTGAGGAAATATTGAGGAAGCCCGAGAAAGTTAGGAAGGGCTCGAGAAGTTATACAGAATTATTGATTAAATTCCGAAAAAGCTTGGAAAATATTTAGGTATTTAATAATAGGGATAAACCAACTGGGAATTTTTTATTACTATCACAATAGCAACGAAATTCAAAGAAAAATAAGACAAAATACGAGGGGTAAACCGCAAGTCAGTTTTTGTACACCAGATTGCGGTTTTAGGGGAAATCATGGTTGATTTCCCATGATTTTCCCTGATTTCTTATGATTACCAGTAAGATTGCCCAAGAGTTCACCTAATCACATAATAATCTCATATTTTGAATTTTTTCAACTGCACATGCGTTGGACGTAGGGATTGGATGATTTCCTCAAGATTTCCCATGATTTCCTTGAGATTCTCTCTGAGTTTTTTAACGATTTCCTTGATTTCCTCTGATTTCCATGTGATTTTCCCTGATTGTCCTAGATTTCCTCGAATTTCCCCTGAGTTGTACACCAGATTTCTCAAACCCCAGGTCAGTTTTGTACGCCAGGTTATGATTTTAGGGGATGATTTTCCCGGATTTATTTTGATTGCCGGTAAGATTGCTCAATACTTCCCTTGATAACATAATCCCAAATTAAAAAAAAAAAAAATTAAAACTGCGCATGCGTTGGATCTAGAGATTAACCTATTTCCTTAAGATTTTTCCTGGGTTCCTTAATGTTTCCCTAGTTTCCGATGATTTCCTCTGATTTCCTCAATGCTTTCCCCTGATTGCCTTCGATTTTCTCGGATTCCCTCTTGATTTTCCCTAATTTGTACACCATCAGATTTTCCTTATAGTTAACTGCAGGTCAGTTTTCATGGTTGATTTTCTATGATTATCCCTGATTTCTTTTGATTACCAGTAAGATTGGCCAAGTTCTCGAGTTCACCTGATCACATAATAATTTCATATTTTGAAATTTCTCAACTGCGCATGCATTGGATATAGGGATGATTTCCCCAAGATTTCCCATAATTTCCTTAAGATTTTCTCTGAGTTCCTTAACTTTTTCTTGATTTCCTGGTGATTTCCTGTGATTTCCATATGATTTCCCCTGATTGCCTTAGATTTCCTCGGATTTCTTCTTGATTTCCCTCAATTTGTATACCAGATTTCCCTTGCGGGGCAGGTGAGTTTTTGTACACGAGTTTGCAATTTTAAAGATGGTTTTCCCTGATTTCTTCTGATTACCAGTCAGATTGCACAAAAGTTCCCCTGATAATATAATCTCAAATTATAAGGATTTTTAAAAATTGCGCATGCGTTGGATCTAGAGGCTGACTGTTTTCCTTAAGATTTTCCATGATTTCCTTAGGATTTCCTCTAAGCTCCTTAACATTTCCCTTGATTTCCTTATGGTTTCTCCTGATTGTCTTACATTTCCTTGGATTTCCCCTGAATTGTACACCAGATTTCCCAAAACCCCAGGTCAGTTTTGTACACCAAGCTGCGATTTTAGAGGATGATTTTCCCTGATTTATTTTGATTGCCGGTAAGATTGCTCAATATATACTTCCCTCGATAACATAATCTCAAATTAAAAAAAATAAATAAAACTGCGCATGCGTTGGATCTAGAGATTGACCGAATTCTTTAAGATTTTCCCTGGGTTCCTTAACGTCTCCCTTTAGTTTCCGATGATTTCCCCTGACTTCCTCAATGCTTTTCCCTGATTGTCTTTTGATTTTCTCGGATTCCACCTTGATTTTCCCTAATTTGTACGCTAGATTTCCCTTGTGGTTAACAGCAGGTCAGTTTTTGTACACTAAATTGCGGTTTTAGGGGAAATCATGGTTGATTTTCCATGATTTTCCCTGATTTCTTTTGATTACCAGTAATTTTACCCAAGAGTTCACCTGATCACATAATAATCTCATATTTTGAAATTTTTCAACTGCGCATGCGTTGGTTGTAGAGATTGGATGGTTTCATCAAGATTTTCCATAATTTCCTTAAAATTTTTTGAGTTCCTCAACGTTTTCCTTGATTTTCTCATGATTTCCTTATGATTTCCGCTGATTGCCTTAGATTTTCTCGGATTTCCTCTCTTGATTTCCGTTAATTTGTATGCCAGATTTCCCTTGCGGTTAAGCGCAGATTAGTTTTTGTACACCAGATTGCAGTTTTAGAGATGATTTTCCATGATTTTCCCTGATTTCTTCTGATTACCGCAGTGAAATTCCCCGACATATCCAAAAATTATAAAGATTTTTGAAAACTGCGCATGCGTTGTATCTATAGATTGACTAATTTCCTTGAGATTTCCCATGGTTTCCTCAAGATTTCCCTTGGATTCCTTAACGTTTCCCTTGATTTTCTCCTAATTTCCTTAAGATTTCCAATGGTTTCCTTAAGATTTTCCTCGTGTTCCTTATCATTTCCCTTGATTTGCTCTGATTTACCTACTATATGATTTCTCCTGATTGTTAAGATTCCCTTGGATCTCTCTCGATTTCCCTTGTAGTTTACCCCTGGACAAAATATGAAAATCCGGAAAAATTCGAAAAAGCACAAGATATAAGGAAACTTATCAAGCAAACTCAAATAAAGAGCCGAGGAATTTTAACAGAAAGTCCAAGGATGTTCAATATCGAAAAAATGCAGTGAAATAAGAGGAAGTTCAATAAGAAAATACAGAGAAGTAGGTAGAAGAGAAAGGCAAATTGTCAAATTGTAGGATAGTCCGGAAATGTTTGGAGTGATCCGTTGAGGTATATGGGGAATTATAATTGAAAACCCGAAAAAGTCTAAAAAAACCCAGGAGAAGTCCGAGGAAGTATAAAAGAAGGATCCAATAATACAGGGAAAAACCAATACCTATATACCTATTACAGGGAAAGGAATAGGTCTTACACTTCCACAACACCAAAGAATTATACCTACAAAAAAAGTAAGGAAAATCTGAAGTATTGAGCAGATCTAGACAAGTTTGAAGAAATTCGAGAAAGTATGCAAAATATTTATTCAGAAGGCAGAAATAGGAGAAACCAAGTAGAAAATTTTCATCCCACGAAAGCAAAAAAGTACAGAGAAACCAAAAGAAAATTAAAGCCATTTTTTAAACAAGCAGAACACTTAAACCAAATTTTGTGTTTATTTTATTCAACTTTTCTCAAATTCTTCAATGTCTCTGAGAAAATTCTACCACAATAAATTCTCGAGAATTTCTTTTCTTTGAAAAAACCACTTGTGCTGTTACCAATTGGCAGTACTAGTACCTGCAACTAAAAAATTGATGTCTAGAAATTCTCATCCTCGTTTCATTGCATTGGTACGCCTATGGCAAGTTCCCTACTGCATTTTTAAATTCATCTGCCTGGCTACTGAAATAGGTGCTTATTGATTGATAATGCCTATAGCACGACCCAAAGAACAGTTTTGCATTGCACTGTTATTTATTTTCGTTTTATCTAAATTTTATGTTATAATATGAGTTCAGTATGAAACAAACAAAACTCACTTTTATGTTTTCGTGTTTGGTCATCCTAGAAAGGACATCGGCACCGCACAAAAGAAAAGATGACCAGCTGACAAAAGGGCACGCGTGTTCTTTTTTCTATGTGTAGAGGGAATTCGTCAGTGCAACACCCAGAACGAAAATCGAGAATGCATTTTTATGCGCTCTAATGACTATGCACGCTTAAAAATGTCTCTTTGAAAAGTTTAAATTTAACAGGTGAGGCATGAAACTTTTTTTACGGACATATTATCATTCAAACAATATAAACCATAGTTTTGTCAACTTCCTTTATAGTGTCTAGATAATATATAAATTTCATTTTAAATGGAATAACCTTATAGGTAAGAAGTACTGTCTTAAGTCTTAAGTTCAAATCAAATAAACTACTGAGGCACCTTAATGAATAAATATCAACTTATCAACCTTCCTTAAATTTCGCCGATGACGAGTTGCAAATATGTAGAGGAAACTCATGAATGAGATTGTGTTCCTATTTCTTATATTAGATAATTTATTCCAGCTATACCCACCTATCTAATAGAAAACTTCCAAGATTAGAGTATGGAATAGGCTGATTGTATACAAATTTGTGAAAAAATCAAGGAAAATTTTGAGATTGAACCCACAATAAATAATCTAAAGAGAAGATGGGTTTCACTCATTATTAAAGCATGAACAAAGAATTGAAAAAAAATAAAATAAAAACATGAAAATAATTAATTAGGCTTTATGATAGGTATAGGTAAAGGAAGTAACGTAATATGAGTCAGCTTTTTAATTTTCTTGTTCATATTGTTATCTTTCCAATACCGTTCCTAGAATTGCAAGTTTGCGATAAACATAACAATCATTCGAACATTAAGTCCATTAACAAGAATACGAGAAATTATTGCAACAACTTTCCCAAGTAGTGTGAACAAAGCCAGCCAATCAAAATCAACATTTTATTAATAGGCACACACCATACCTTATCAAAATTGTTAAATAACGTCTTAATTGAAAGCAAAATATCGCGAGTGTATACTAACTCTCTGCATAAGAACAAAGCAACAACGAAATTGCGCCAACCAAATTACGCAACTGTGTTTTTGCGAAATCTATAGCACCATATATCAGTTTTTTAAAAAAAATTGCTTATAGACCAGACAAACATCCACTACCTCCAGCAATAAGCCACCGAGTTTCAACAATACACCAGACTCTTTTCGGAGACCAGGCAGCACACCTGCCTGCCCCTACTATAACTTTTGAGCGGTGCTATTGGATGTCGCACTATTCCTTCGTCGCTATTGGCCACTCGGCACGTGGATCACCAGCGTAGTGGGGACCCGGTTTAATAACTACTGAAACAGGAACTTTCTTGTACCAGAGTTAAGCGAGTCGTCGTTCAGAGTGGTCGTCAGTTTATCAGCCTGAACGAACCGGTCGAATTTACGAGTGTTTTTTTTTTGTGAACAATTTTGGATTAAAGTGACTTTGTGAAGTGAAAATGCCTATTTCGATTATGGCCAAAAACTATTCAAATTGTCCGTTGAAAAAGCGGCCGATTGTCTTCGAAGAAGACCACGAAGAACCAGAAAATCTTTCAACAAAACCTGAAGATTTAAGCAGAACTGGAAGGTTGGCTTCAGTGTCGCCACCTTCTTCACTATCGCAATCGTTTTCCGATCCGCGACTATCACCAGTTTCTTCAATTTCCATAAACTCAACACCGCCAGCTTCACCACCATCAGCACCATCTCCACCACCAAGTTATTACCATTCTCAACCAATCAAAGTTGAATCTCGTCTACCAGTTTATCCAGCGCCAATAAGTCCTGAATACGCTCCACAAACCTGGCACAGAAGTGTTGCCCCAATGTACCATCCAGCTTATTATCCAGTACCATACCCACACCACTACCACCATGAAAGTATGTATATGCCACCAACCTCACCATACAGTGACAGTTCCCTATCACCACCACACCACATGCAACAACCTCTACAGCCTTTAGCCCTAAGGCCAACAGTTTATTCTACAATGGACCAAAACTCATTAAGTCCTAACAGCAATTCAACAATTTCACCACCACCACAAGCGTCCTCCTCATCAGTCGAAGACCTATCCGAAAAACGTAAACAAGGCATCAGACACCAGTGTCCTGATTGCGGAAAAAGTTACTCAACATTTTCTGGATTGTCCAAGCACAGGCAGTTCCATTGCGCAGCCGGTGACGGACCGAAAAAATCCTTCAGCTGCAAATATTGTGAAAAAGTGTACGTGTCTTTGGGCGCGTTGAAAATGCACATCAGAACCCATACTTTGCCATGTAAATGTACTATCTGTGGCAAAGCCTTTTCCCGCCCGTGGTTGTTGCAAGGCCATATTCGTACACATACAGGCGAAAAACCATTTTCCTGCACTTATTGTAACAGAGCCTTTGCCGACAGGTCGAATTTGAGGGCCCATCTTCAAACACATTCCGACGTCAAGAAATATTCTTGCGCCAGTTGCAGCAAAACGTTTTCCAGGATGTCTTTGCTGACAAAACACACTGAAGGAGGTTGTACTGGATCCAGTCCGACTTTAATGCATCCAGTGGATAAAATGTACTAAAGTGTTTGCAATTGTTGAAGCAAAACATTCCTTTATTTTGGTTCCTGTTGATTAATTCAGTATTTTTTGTATCGTTGAATTGAGAAAATTTTTGTTCATCAGTATTCACAATTGCCTTTTGAAAAAAGACTGAAATTTTTTTGTACATTTTTATAAAAATTTTGTATATAAGGTTTAGTTAGTAAGTAAATTATAATAATATATATTTTTTGTAAATATTTTGCTAATACTGTGAACCATATTCCTTCAATATTATTCTAATTTTGTAAGCAAACTGTTGATCTTTGGAATGTCTGGTTCGCAAAACTTGTTTTCTAGTCAAATTCGAAGTGTTCAGACACTTCTCGAGAATGTTATTTATCTATGCCATTGTATAGTGCCTTACTTAGTCCTTTTTTTTACTTTTAAGAATACAGATTTTTTTTTTTGATTTTTATATTATTTTTAATAAAATGTGTTATCCATTTTTGAAAATTTGTTGTTTTGCTTTTATTTTCTAACATTTTCAGAATCTGAAAAGAAAGTCCATTAAGATAATGGAGTAATTTTTTTTTTAATGCATATATCCTTATCATAGATGCAGATTTGATTATTGAGTCAATAATTAGATACCTACCTATTCTTTTCCAAAGTTTTGTATCTATGAATGATGAGGTATTTCTCAGATAGGTCAAATGGCTATTGTTGATTGTCTTCTCTGAGTGATAGCAATCGACATTTTTTGTCAAGAAACATCAATTTTGCGATGACAAATCATATTGCAATAATGCAACTTTTCAATTTTTTGGTATATTTTTCCTTGGAGCATAAGGCTGGCGAAATTTGTACAAGAAATTCCAATAAATGCCAATACATTCAATCTCGACAGGTCTGATTCATTTGTTCAAGAAGAAAATGTAAGTTTCCCATACAAGTGCTGGAAAATTGAAAAGTATAACTTCTAAAGCGTCTAAGTGCCATCTCGATAATTTTTGTCATAATTGTTTGAAAATGGTTCTAAGACTCAATCCCAATACAATCAAAAAGGGTCTATGTGGCAACAATACATGCATTTGGTTCTGATATTGATTTAAAGATGGTGCAGGATATAAGTGAAAATTTTATATAATCATGTTTGTAGTATTTTTCTCGTTTTTCTCAAAATCAAAATTTTGGCACTTTAGAAATTATACTTATATTACACTCATATAGGGGTTCTTTCCAACTTTTTTAAACAGAATCACTTTATTTTCATGTTTCATAAATTACGATTACTTCACAGGTGCGGAAAGTAGCATTTTTCTCATTATGGACAAAAAAATTGTTATTGGTTCTGCAAATTGAAAGCAAATGCCAACTAGAAAAACTCTTAGACATGTAGGTAATGTTGATGTGGTAGAGAAAGGCTAAAAATTTCGCTGCAAAGTCAAAACTTTGAAAAAGTTCAAATTGAAAAACTAGCTATGTTTATTTGTACACTTGGTGGAAACAAATAATTTCCAGCACTTGTGCCGAAATGTGACATTTTCTTCATACTCGTAAATAAAAAATACCTTTAAGGTACCTGATATGTCACATTAAGTTTTATATGATCAGCCCTTGGTCGAGCCCAACAATAATTGGCGAATACGCAAGAACATCAAGGGAATTTTGTTGGTTTTCTGACTACCCCCTCAACCTTTCCATGTTAGTATGAATCCAATCCTATGTACATTTTTTGAATAATCATACAGTTTACTATGTACAGGGTGTTTTTTTATATATTGACACCCCACCTACAGCCTTCACCTTTACAGGTAGATGAAAGGTGTGAATACAAAAGTTGTACAGTAGGTATTGGCTAAATTTCTAGAATCCATGGTCAGAAACAAAAATTGAATGTCAGAAATGTGAAATTTTGCATGCTTTCAGCTTGCAATATTTGGCTCTATATTCTTGAAGAGCACAATTTCCCGATTCCAAAACTATATAGTTTGTCTATATTTGGTTGAGCGGTCTCCAACATATTTGGTTCTAAAAATACCTGTACAGGTAGAATGGTGCACAAAATCAGTAGTAGGATAGTATTTTTCATAGGCGCAACTTAGGGGGGTGTTAAGCACCCCTAAAGCAAAAATTAGCACTCCCATTCGGCATCCCACCATAGCACTACCTACAGTGGCACTACCGAACAATAATATAAAAAATTAGGGCAACCAAATTATTATTTTTTTTGCACTTTTTATACTTACTTACGTCATCGATGACGTCATAATTTAGAAAAAACTATTTGTCATAGAGCACGTTCGCAATTATTATTGTTATATGGAATAAAATTTTTCAACCGGGGCGGGGCCTGTATTACAATATTACCTTAAAATCAAGACTTACCCTAAAATATACGGATTTTATGTTATATTTAGGATGACGTCATCGAACAAGGTCAGACAATGTTGTCAATGTCTATGTTTATTCTATATCTTAAGGTGACATTGAAATACCGGCCCTTAAAAAATCATTAGAGTCCCAAATATATAAATTAATTAACTGCGTATTATACAGGGTGTTTTTAAATATCATGTACAAACGGCAAAGGGTGAATTAAAAAATTGCCTTATTTAAGCAAAATTAAAAAAAATTCACCCTTTAACATTTTAATTTTTTTCTGGAAAACTTGCGAAGGGAAAATTTTGAAAATCTTCCAGGTATAAGAGGAAAATAAGGTGCTCATTTTACGAAAATTTCAAAATCTTCCAGTGACTATTTCACTAGAGTGTATTACACCGGCAATAAATTCGGTATTCAGCTGACAATATTGCTACCTGGACAATACCAACAACATGGTATTTCAGCGACCATTTTTTGACATTGTCAAAATGATATTTTTAATTTGAAGTTTTTATTCATATTTTTGCATTCTATTTATTTTCAAAATCTTACGTGAAATAGTCATATGGAATACCACTCGAGAAAAAATTGTGTAGGCAAAATTGTTCTCAAGGTTTTATTCAAGTTTGTTGCTTTTCGGCAATTTCGCTCATGACATTTTTGAAAAAATCACTCGCCTGACGGCTCGTCATTTTGTCAAAAATGTCATTCGCGAAATTGCCAAGCAACAAACTTTCATACCTTTCGAAAATTTTGCCGACAAAATTTTTTCTCTTGTGATATTATATATGAAAAATCACTCCAGGAAAAATTTTGAAAAACTAACTTTTTAAGCAAAATTAAGGAGAATTCACCCTCTTACATTTTAATTTTTTTCTAGAAATCTGGCAAAGGGAAAATTGTCAAATTTTTCCAGAAGAAAAAGAAAAGTGAGGAGCTCATTATAGGAAAATTTCAAAATTTTCCAGTGGAAAATCACTCCAGGAAAAATTCTGGGAAATTAACTTTTTTAGGCAAAATTCACCCTCTTATATTTTAATTTTTTTTCTGGGAAATTGGCAAAAAGAAAATTGTGAAAATTTTCCAGAAAAAAGAGGAAAGTAAAGAGCTCATTATAGCAAAATTTTAAAATTTTCGGGGATAATACCACGAGAGCTTCAAAATTACCAATAATTTTTCACGATTACGTGTTTTCACAATTTCACGAGTCCGTAGGACGAGAGAAAAGACGCATGAGTGAAAAATTATCTGGTTCATTTTAAAGCTCAAGTGGTATTTAGAGGATTATTTCACGTATGAGAATGCAAAAAATATTGAAATAAATATGTATTAAACGATTTTAACATCTTAAAAATCAATACAAATAAATGGTTGCTATCAGGAACCGTTTTTTTGTATCAAAAATTAGCATAATCATGTATACAATAACACGGGAGAATTATCGCTGTAATTCTCTCTAGTTAAACAAATGGAAAAGAGAATTTTCGCTGTAATTCTGAAAATCTTCACTTGTCTTATGGGATTTCTAACACATGAGTGGAATAATCCAATGAAAAATCACTCCATAAAAAATTCTGGAAAATTGACTCATTTAAGCAAAATTAAGGAAAATTCACCCTCTTACATTTTAATTTTTTTCTGGAAAATTGGCAGAGGGAAAACTTTGAAAATTTTCCAGGAAAAAGAGGAAAGTGAGGAGCTCATTATAGGGAAATTTCGAAATTTTCCAGTGAGAAATCACTCCAGGGAAAATTCTGGAAAATTTACTTTTTCAAGTAAAATTAAGGAAAATTTATCCTCTCACATTTCAATTTTTTTCTGGAAAACTGGCAAAAGAGGAAAAAGAGGAAAGTCAGGAGGTCATTATAAGAAAATTTCAAAATTTTCCAATGGAAAATCGCTCCAGGAAAAATTCTGAAAAATGACTTTTTCATGTAAAATTAAGAAAAACTCATCCTCTCACATTTCAATTTATTTTTGGAAAACTAATAAAGCAAAATTTGTGAAATTTCTCCAGGAGAAAGAAGAAAATGAGGAGCTCATTATAGAAAAATTTCAAAACTTTCTAGTGGAAAATCACTCCAAGGAAAGTCAAGAGGAAAGTTCTGGAAAATTGACTTTTTTAAGCAAACTTCATCCTTTCACATTTTAATTTTTTTCTGGAAAAAGGGCAAAGCAAAAATTGTGGCATTTTTCCAGAAGAAAGAGGAAAGTGAGGAACTCAATATAAGAAAATTTCGAAATTTTCTAGTGAAAAATGACTCTAGAAGAAATTCTGGAAAATTGAGTTATTTAAGCAAAATTAAGGAAAATTCGCCCTTTCACATTTAAATTTTTTTTTTGAAAAACTAGCAAAGGGAAAATTTTGTACATTTTCCAGGAAAAATAGAAAAATGAGGAGCTCATTATAGGGAAATTTTGAAATTTTCCAGTGAAAAATCACTTCAAGAAAAATTCAAAGAGAATTGACTTATTTAGGCAAAATTAAGGAAAATTCACCCTCTTACATTTTAATTTTTTTCTGGAAAACTAGCATTTTGAAATTTTTACAGGAAAAAGAGGAAAGTGAGGAGCTCATTAGAGGAATATTTCAAAAATTTCCAGTGAAAAATTACTCCAGGAGAAATTTATTTATATATTTTCAGATAACTGAATAAACTATATTCTAAGTTGAAAAATGTATTACAAAACAATAATTCCGAAAGTGCTCTGAATTAATCTATGACTTAACTTTTTCTCTAAGTTATGACGTTATTAATACGTAAGTAAAAACCTTCGTGCCGTGCATCGAACTATATGTTTATTTGAAATCTCAGACATAAAAAAACCTATTTTTCAAAAAAAAAAGGCAAATGATGACGTAAGTACAAACCCTCGTGAAACTAACTTTTTTTTATGCGTCTCATTTTCTTTCCATCAAACCCCATTACAACCTTCAAATTTGGAGCCTAGTTGCGCTTATGGTATTTTTACAATTCGTCGCCCTAGTTGTGAATGGTCGTAATCCACAAAATGTTCATTCTTGAGTTGTGACTGTTAACCTCTCTGTTAACATACTTAAAAATGTTTAAATTTCATGTTGATGAATAGATCTAAGCCACTGATCGATATTTGACCTTGTTATAG